AACAATTCCTTCTCCAGCCTCAGAGGTGAACTGAATATTTTCTCATCAAAGCGAGTAGTATTTTATTATTGATGGTACTGACGGGATGATGCGCGTACTGATTCTGATGTTATCCTGTTTTGTCTCTGGCGGGACCGATCGAGTGAGCACAACATGCACCCCTGAGGCTTGCCTAACGTTGCATTTGAAGGAAAAACTTTTTGAAAAAGCTTCAGAAGACTGTATCAATAATGGCGGCAATTTGGTTACTATGAGAAATGAAAATGAACTTCAGAGCATCAAATCGGTTCTTTTAGCAGCAGGAGAATACAACCTCCTTAACTCTAAACTTTGGATCGGGCTTGCGCTACAGAAAAGAATCTGCACCGATTTCACTGAGAAGTTAAACGGCTTCAGATGGACGTCAGCGCCAACCGATTCCAAATATTCCAACTGGAAAAAGAAACCTTTCAGCACGTGCACGGAGAAAAGGTGTGTGTCGATTTCACTGGTAGATGATCTCAAGTGGTCCGATGGCTCATGTAGAGACAGCGCATTTTATATGTGCAAATTTCTCTTCAAAGGAATGTGCAAACCAATTCTGTTGGAAGAACCAGGTGGTGTCAAATATAACGTTCCGTTCTTATTTAAACCACTAACTCCAAATGAAAGGTTGGCGATGTTACCACATGGGACATTGGCTGAAATACAATGCGGCGGCTCGGAAGATGCAAACACGTTTGTCTCAATTTGTGGCAACAATAACGCTCTTTTTGGCTGGACAACTGAGCGTTTTTGCACACGAAATGAAAGTTGCAAACGCAAAAACGGAGGCTGTGATCACCATTGTTTTGAGACCGCAGGAGCAGGTGTTCGTTGTGAATGTCGTGAAGGCTATTACCTCAAGGATGATAAAGTGAGTTGTGCTCTCAGAAATAACTGCGAAAATTCACCTTGCGAATCAGAGTGTACACCAACTGCCACTGGGTTTTCATGCGCATGCGCGGAGGGATTTCATTTGGCTGAAGACAACGTCAGTTGCGTTGATATCGATGAATGTCAGCAACGTACCTGCGGTGAACACCGGTGTCAAAACGCGCCGGGAAGCTATTTTTGTGAGTGTAAACCCGGTTTCAGGCTTGTTGCTGGCAAATGTGAAGACGTGGACGAATGCACCGAATTCAGTTCGCTTGTTCAGTTCAGTTGTCAACAGGGCTGTCTCAATTCACAGGGTTCATTCTCTTGTTACTGCCACGCAGGTTACAGTTCACCATCAAACGATAGCAGGAAATGTATAGATATCGATGAATGTGTCAGTAGACCGTGTGAAGACATCTGCCTCAATACCTTGGGTAGTTTCAAATGCTCTTGTAGGGAAAACTTCATTTTGGCTAAAAATGGCATCAGCTGCGTCCCGGATCCCACGGAGAAAATACAAATCACTCAATCTCCAGATCGTAGAGGAGA